GGAAAAAAAAAAAAAAAAAAAAAAAAAAAAAAAAAAAAAAAATGTTTATGATTTAAAAATTAAATAGACAACACAATTTTTTTTCTCTAAATATCACCTGGAAATGTCTTTAGCATCTCTACTGAGACTCCAGCAAGAATAATACTTAGGAACTAAGAACTGCTTCTAAATGAACACTCAAAGGCTGGCCAGTTAGCTCAGCTGGTTCGAGTGTGATATTGATAACACCAAGGTCCAGGATTCAACCCTTTTTACTGGACAGCTACCAAAAAAACAAAAAACAAAAAGATAAATGAACACTCAAAAAGAAAACTAAACAACTTTACAAGTGCACTAATGGCTCATACCATTAGTACATTAACCTAAGTAGTAGCTTCATATGCCAGTAAGCTATAATTAAAGATCTACAAACTTCTACATGTTTACAAACTTTATATCTGGTTAAGTGTATCCAAATAATAGTAACAAACTAGACTAAGAACTTTATTTAACTGCAAAAACCCAACTGTACACCTGCTTTGAAGATTCTTGACAATTCTTTATTCCACTTTCATAAATTATTCACTGTGAAGTATTTCTTGAACAAATGTGCTTCAAAAACAGTAAAAATCAATAGAAATTGGGTTCTGGAAGCATAAAGCCAGAATACTAAGAGATGTGTGTCTAATCAGGTACCAGAAGTTACCAGGTACGCAAGTAAATTTTATTCACTAATTCTTTATCTTGCTGCATCCCAAGTTTCATAAATGTTTACTTTTTTTCATCTGCTCTGTAGGTGCTACTATTACTGCCCTTTTCAGGGGCCTTCAAATCTTTAGGTTAAAAAGTCAAAAACTGTACACGATCTGAAAATTATAATTCACCATGTACTAATGTGAACTTGAAATAACCCTAAAAAAAATACAAATAACTTTTAAAAAGGTATGTAAACCTTGAAACCGACTTATATAAAGATTCTTTTAACTCAAAAACATTGTTGGGTTTTTGGCTTTTTTTGTCAAGCAATATTACATTACGGTACTTTTCTGAAAATCATGAAAAAAATAGTGAAGTGTTTGTGGAAAAAGAAAACAAGAATTTTTTTGTGTTCTCTCAGAGCACTCTCACACTGCTAATTTTATGCAGTGCATAATACCTTTAAGGATAATGACATATGTTCACTTGTGGAAGATTGCTAATGATTGGCTGAAAATCAGCATATGTTAAAACATCAAAGTCCATCATTTAAAATATCTAATCAGAAGAAATACTGGCACTGTCATTTAACTCCCTAATTAACTACTGGGCATCTGAGTCCAAAATCAGTGTATAAAGTGACAATTAACCTAAATGAAAACTTTCTGGTGCTTTACTATATTACTGTATCTCATCTTTTTGCATCAAAGCTAACTTGGTTTTATTTTTTGCTCTTCTTTGTTAATAAACTGTGATCCTGTCTTGTAATGAATAAACCTGTAAACCATCGGAAAAATAAAAGAAAACAAGAAGAAAATTTTAAATAGAATGGCTTGAATGCCATGACATTTTACTATCATGTAGCAAAAGAAATCACTTTCATGTCTTTAGCTATTAAAACTGGTATGAAAATCCCCCATCCCAAAGTCCCTAACTCACTGCTTACTTCAAAGTCAATATCAAATTTAAAGATCATATATGCTACTATAAAATATAACTGCAATCAAGTACACAGTACACTAGATCAAGAAAGGCTGAGAGGGTAAGAAAGATGCCCTCAGTCTTAATGCCCCTTTACAGAAAAAAAAAGGGACTAAGAACAGTATCCTTTTTCATTATTTATCTTCCAGTATCTCTAGATCAATACTCTCCAATACAACTTTCTGTAATGATAGAAAGTTCTATATCTGCATTCTCCAATATGATAGCACTGGCCACATGAGGCTATGGAGCACTTGGAATGTGCCTACTGCAACTAAGGAATTAAATTTAATTTTATTTAATTTTAATTAATTGAAATAGATGTGCCTGTAGCTACCATAATGGATAGCACACCTCTAGATTATCTATTTTGTTTGATTCTCTTTTAATAAAAATGAGGC